AAAAAAAAAAAAAGGAAAAATGTTAAGCGAACCTCTTTTCAATAAGAATTAAAAATTAAATGCGCCCATATCATTTTGTAAGTTGGGTTCTCGTTTCGCTTTTGATGGTTGGAAACCAAACGAAATAAGTCGGCTCGTCCAAAAAAAAAAAATAATAATAAATAAATAAATAAAGTGGATATTGAAAAACTTGTAGTTTCTATAAACAAAGTAAGAAAATAATTAAATTGCACTAAAAAAATATAAACAAATTCATTTATCACTCAAAAGGGATTTACATTTCTTGTTAACCCTCCATTTAAGTTAGTGAAAAATCCCATTAGTCCCGTCCGGTAAGGTAAATAGGACTTCCGGCGACCCTCTTCTTTGGCTTTACTTTTTAAATACATCTCATGTGCCGACAACGGTGCCGTTTTATTCTTCTTACTGTTCTTCACCTTCCCGTTGACTTTCGCCGTCGCAGTCGCCGTGGCCATCTTCGCCATGGACGGCGGCGGAGTATTGCTATCCCTCAAGAAAACAAAGGCGTCCCTTCCATCACTGTTACTTCTCCCCATGGAATCCTTGAAACGCCATGTCTTCGAGAACCCAGTTGAGTTACTCTTCGTGCACACCTCCGGCGAAAACACCTCCTCCACCACCTTGACGTCGTCATTTTCCGACGAGGATGACGTCATCCCATCTCTCCTTTCAACAAAAACCTTATTCACTGCTGGCCGCACAGGCAAATCCTCATATAAAATCTTCGTATCTTGATTGAACAATGGAAAAAGAGGCTTGATTTGACCATTAATGAATGCATCTTCAGCTGCTATTGGTGATATATTCACTCCACACGTAAAAGAAAATTCCTCCTCCTCGTCTTCTTCGTCGTCCTCGTCTGAATATGAACTAAGCTTCATCTTACTATAAAAATCGTGACTCATATCTGTAAAATCTTGAACTGAGTTTTGGTTTTCTTCAAGATTTGTCTCCATATTTGGAAGAATTTGTATGCGAAGAAGGGATTTAATTGAATGAAAGGATGAGCTGAATGAGGGCGGTTGATAAATTAGGTTCGGTCTAGAAACAAGAACTATTTATTGTGTTGGTGTACATCTGTTAGTATTAAACAAATGTTTAATAATAAAAACAATTGATTTTGTGGGCGGCTGTTGAATTGAATGGGGCAGAAGAAAACAAGAATATGAAAGGGGGAGGAAGTGAAAAGGGATTGCGAGTCACGTTTTACGAATTGGCTGGGAAATTGCAAAGAAATAGCTTGTTGGAAAGTTTTTTTGATTTGTGTTTGTAATTAGTACTAAACCACGTGCGTAAATTAATGTTCATGAATTTTAGTACTGAATGATTTGGTTAGGTTTGTCACGTAATAGGGTTGACACTAGAATATACACATAACATTTTTCGTCTTTTTTATTTTAACTATTATTCATTACACTTCATATATTTAGGCGTTGGTGGTAGTAGAAATATCTTGGCCCTACTACGTTTACTCGACTTTTCGGATTGATTTGATTTGAAAACAGAGAAAATGATGAATCTAGTCTAGGTATCTTGGTGAAGTAGGGGGTGCAAAGGTTGAAAATTTTCAAATGTGTGATTAATTAAGATCTGAATAAAAAAGGGAAGTATTGTGTTTACACAATGGTTTACACATAATATTACACTCTCCTCATGTGAAGGGAGGCTCACTTACAATAATATATTCGTGACCCCCTCACATTGAGGGGGGTTTAACTCATTATGTACACCATGATGTGTACACATAGTATTTCTCAAATAAAAAATAGATAAATAGGATAAAGAGAATCCAAAATAATTGTTTACCCCTCGTGTTGATCATTTGAAATCGAGCACCGATACATTAATCACTCAAGTATCCTGTCGAGATTCTGATGGTGTGAAGAGGACGGTCGCCAATATCATCATGGACTAATATTCAGCGTTTGAGCCTAAGTTGTTTTGTTGAAAGGTTTAAATTGATGGATCTGGGCTGCACCCCCTTCAACTTGGGGGACACTACGTTGCCAGGGTAATGATCCGTTTTAGTTCAGGTGCTCCCTTAGGAGGCAAGTTCGATGTGTCCTAAATGTGGAAGCAAAACCATTTTTACTTCCAACCGAGTTTGACAAGGTCAAAAATTTGTGACATCAGTATCGATAGTCGATTGTTCCAAACCATCAATAGGTTAAGTCCGTGACTAGATGCTGCCCTCCTATTTCTTGTGACATATCAATCCTTTGATCAAAGTTTTTCTACTCATCAAATTTTGGGTGTGACAATACAGGTTGTTAGATATCTTGTCGAATCCTAGGAGGACTATTCTTTTAATTTGTATGCTCGTTTTCTTTTCTCATATGTGCTTTCAAGAATTCTATTATTCTTAAATTATGATATTACTATAATGGTTAGAATCATGAGTTGTGTCAAGTTATATGAACGTGATTATGTTTTGATGAGGGCACGTGCCCTTAACTCTAGT